CCTATATGTAAGAATCTTACAGAAATAAAAACAAATATTTGTTTAAAGGTATTTATTGACAGTTGTTTGAAATAGCAAGGAAGTGAAAACAACATGAATGTTCATCAACAGAGAAACAATTTGAACATTAATACCTCTCCATATGTAGTATTCTGCAGCTATTAACACTAAAATGAGTAAGTTAGATTTATATGTACCTGGAAAGATGTCTGTGATGTATGTTACAGGAAAGTTGCAGATTGATGTCCATACAGTGATCCTGTTTAAATATATAAATATTCACAACCAAGGGGAAAAAAAAAGAGCCATGTATAAACATGTATGTACATTTAAATGTAAAGAAAGCTACAGAAAAGTACTCATGACGCTTTTAACATGTTAGTTTAAGAAGTCAGATTTTCTTATTTTTTTAAAGATTTCATTTGACAGAGAAAGAGGGAGAGAGAGAACACAAGCAGGGAGAGCTGCAGAGGGAGAGGGAGAAGCAGACTCCCCACTGAGCAAGGACCCTGAGGGACAGGGGGCTTGATCCCAGGACGCTGGGATCATGACCTGAGCCGAAAGCAGACACTTAACCAACTCAGCCACCCAGGCACCCCAGGAAGCCAGATTTTCTTTTATGTATATTTGTTATAATTTCTTGCTTTGCAGGTAAATGTATTATATAATTTCAGAAGGGCAATTCAAATATGAAAAGAAAAATTACATGAAAAATGTTTAATTTCTAACTTCTTTTGAGAATAAGTAAAAAAACTGTTAAAAGGAGAGAACAAAGTAATGGCATAATGGCCCATTTGACCATCTTTATTTCTCTATTTGTTATAAAATTCATCTTAGAAAAGAATCTCCAATTCTAGAACTTGATTTATGGACTAAATATATCAACGATAAAGCCATTTATTTCATTACCATGCTTTTAAAATTCCACAAACCTGTTTTCTTGGGTTTTTTGTTGTTGTTGTTGTTAATATCTCATTAAGTTGAACTAAGAATTGGGGTAGAGGGAAGAGTAAGAAGGGACTGTGAAGGAAGATTGTTACATGGAGGAATTTCCCTTTTTTAAGAGGACAAGGGTCCTATATGTAGAAAAAGAATGGGATTGGTTTACAGAGAAAGCAACTTGCCCTCTCATAAACTTAATTGGCCTCCAGCTATAATGTTTTAGAGTTTCCACCTCTGAGGTGATTTCTTGTAGCTAGAGCAGCATTTACAAACATAGTTTATATTGCAAAAGATAGTAACAGCCATTATAAGAAGGGATTCATGGTCAAGTAAATTTGGCACATGATGGGTTAAAGTTTTAAAAAATTGCTTTACTAAAATATTTATAATAGCCCTGATGAAATAAAATGAACTTATTGCTCCAAAAAGTGATGTGAACTATGCCATGATTTACAGTCTTGTTTGACCACAGAATCTTTTTTTCTAATATCATCTGAATCATAGTATTACTTGAAATGTACTACAGGAAATTTTAGACTAACATATTATCTGTGGAATTCAATTAACACGGAGATATGGTCCTGAGTAAAAGAATTCAAAACAAATAATTTTAAGGTAGCACATGGTACATTACTGTTACATCATTATAAAAATATTCTTCATATGTGACAATCATGCAATCCACTGGTGAAAGTTTATTTATGATGTAATAAATTACAAAACCTGAGCAAAACAGGCTGGTGGTACAGGTAACAACAAAGGGCTGTTGTGACTCCATAGCAATATTGCTAAATACACATGAATTATGATCCTCTAATATTTATTATGTAATGACTAACCTTTGAACTCTTAATTTGGCAAGCTGCACATAAACAGTGCATTTAAGTTGTAGGTATCAATAGTTTAAAATTTGTTAAACAATAAGACACATAATAATAAAAATATTAGGAGAATGTGTCTTTGCTAGACAACTTTAGGAAGAGCTTCATGCCTTTTCAGAGTCAATGAATTTATAATTCAAGTAACAAAAAGGCAAATTAATAAATTAGATCATAATTGAAATCTTTGTAGAACTATTGGGACACTAGCATTCATAATTTGAACATCTAAAAAAACCAAAAATCTTAATGTTATTTTAATTTCACCTTGGCTATTATCTCAACAGTAAGTCCTATTGGGAATTCTCATATTGTAAGAAGTAATTAAAAGCAAAATATCAAATAAAGGACCTCAAAATTTCATGACGAAAAAAATCCCTGAAATCATTTAACAAAGTCTATCATAAAAATTTTTTAAATTGAGATTTTCTGAATGCCAGAAGTTGATTCTACGCTAGTGCATTGGTCTTAAGGCAAATATTAATTTTAAAACTTGGCTATTCAGCCAAAATGTCCATACAGTGTGTTTGCAGGTAATGTATTTTCAATGAACTTTTGCAGGTAATAATACTGTATGAATTTTTAACTTAAATTTTGTACATAAGGTCATGTAAATTGTTTCTTCAATTGGGCCACTCTCAAAAAACCTTGAAAAACACATATTTCAAAACCATTCACTGAGAGAATTAAAATGACTTGAGGCTGCAAATAATTTTTCCATCATAATCATCTCTTCGAAATATTTCTAAACTCTTAAAATGTAATTAATCTAGAACAGATTAAATCTTGGATATTCTTGGGGAGCGGTATTCCTTTGTATTCTTTTAATTGGTAGAGATTATGTTTTGTTTAGAATATTTGTATCTATCATTATAAGGGAATCTGGTCTTGTTTAATTTTGACACTATGGCTATGCTACCAGCCTCAGAGAATGAGCTTCAAAAACTTTATTGGGGGAGGAAGCTGGAAAATTTTAAGTGTAAGACTACTTAGGCTAAATTTCTCAAAAACCACAAGCTACCAAATCTCAACTATGATGAAACAGATATCCCAAGTAGCCATATGACTGAATAACTATTAAAGAAACTGAATTTATAATTGTAAAGCTCCCTAAAAATCCTCAGGCCCAAATGGTTTCACTTGCAAATTTTCATCTGAAAAATGAACACAAATTTTATACGACTTCTTTCAGAAAACAGAAAAACACTTCCCAATTCATTTTATGAGGCCAACATTATACAATACAAAGTGAAACAAAGACTAGAAGAAATAAGGAAAGGAGAGAGGGAGGAAAAGAAAGAAAATGACAGAATGACAGAACATCATAATTTTAGAAAAATCTTCAACAAAATGTTAGCATATCAATTCCAAAAAGAAATTAGAAAAGATGACTACGTGAAATTTATTACAGGTATACAAAGACTGGTTTTATATTCAAAAATCAATCCATGTAATCCACCATATACATAGGTTGAAGAAAAACATCATATAATCATATCATGTGTCTGGATGAAATCCAATAAGCATTCATGATTTTAAAGCCTCTCAAGTTAAGAGCAGAGGGGAACTTCTTCAATTTAAAAAAGAGCATTGAGGGGCGCCTGGGTGGCTCAGTCATTAAGCATCTGCCTTCAGCTTGGTTCATGATCCCAAGATCCTGGAATCAAGCCCTGCATCGGGCTCCCTGCTCAGCGGGAAGCCTGCTTCTCCCTCTCCCACTCTCTCTGCTTGTCTTCCCTTTCTCGCTGTGTCTCCCTCTGTCAAATAAATAAATCTTAAAAAAAAAAAAAAGAGCATCGACATAAAGCTTACAGCTTACTTTGTACTTCATGGTGAAAGACAATGTTTCCCCCTAAGATCTGAAAAATGCAAGGATGTCTGCTCTCGCCTGTGTGATTCAACATACCACTAAAAGTTACAGCCAGCATAAGGCAAACAAAAGAAATAAAAGACACAGACTTTCCTGTCGCTGTTCATAGATGACATGATTGTCTATGTAGAAAACCCCAAGGAATTTACTAAAAAATGAAACAAAACCTTCCAGAATGAGTTGGTGAGTTTTGCAGCAAGGTCACAGATTACCAGATCAACATACAGATATGCATTAAAAACACCAATTAGAACTTTCCAAAGAAAGTGAGACATTTAAGTATATATACTTACAAATCATGTATAAGATCTGTATGCCAAAAACTACAAATCCTAATAAAAATTTTTTAAAAGATGACGTTAGTTTCCTCGGGCTGCCATAACAAACTACCACAAGCTTAGTGTTTTCAAACAGCAAAAATCTATTATGGTTTTGGGGAACAGAAGTTCAAAATTAAGGTATTGGCAGGGTCATGCTCTCTCTGAAGGCAGGGGGAGGATCCCTTTTTTCCCTTCTAGTTTCTAGTAGTTACTAATAATTCTTGGTGTTCCAAGAATTGTAGATGCATCATTCAATCTGTCTCTGGTTTCACATGTCCTTCCCTGTGTGTTTGTGTCCATATTTCCCTCTTCTTATCAGGACACGAGACATTAGAATAATTAGTAATCTAATCCAATATGATCTCCATCTTAACTTGAATACATCAGCAAAGACCCTATTTCCAAAATAGGTCACACTCACAAGTACCGGGAGTTATTACCTGAATATTTTGGAGAACACAATTAAACTAACAATAACCTAAAAATGGAGAGACATACCAGATTCATGGATTAAAAGATTTACTCAAGGGGCGCCTGGGTGGCTCAGTCGGTTGGGCGGCCATGATCTCAGGGTCCTGGGATCAAGCCCCATTTCTGGCTCTCTGCTCAGCAGGGAGCCTGCTTCTCCCTCTCCCTCTGCCTGCCGCTCTGCCTACTTGTGCTCTGTCAAATAAATAAATAAAATCTTAAAAGATTTACTAAAGATATAAATTATTTCTAAACAATTCCTATTAAAACCTTAAGCTTATCCTAATATTTATATGAAATGGCAAAAACTAAGAATAGGTAATCAGCTTGAAAAAGAATAAAGTAGGAGAAATCCCATTAAGACATCGTATAAAATGACAGTAATCAAGGCAGTGTGATATTGGCAGAGGGATAGACACATAGATCAACGGAAGGAAAGAGAAAACCTTGAAGTAAGATATACACAAATATATTCAATAGATTTTTGACAGAGGTACAAAAGCAATTTAATGGAGGAAAGACAGTCTTTTCAACAAATGATGCTTGAGCAAATGGACATCCATTAGCCAAAACAAACTAAGAAAGAACATTAAGCTAAAGCATACAACATACATGAAAAATTAACTCAAAAGATTATAGACTTATGTGTAAAACGTGTAAAATCATAAAAAATTTATGCAAAAACATAGGAAAAATCTTTGGAATCTGGGCTAGGCAAGGAGTCCTTAGATTTGACACCAAAGCAAAGCCCATAAAAGGAAAAATTGATAAAGTAGACATTATCAAAACTGAAAACTTTTGCTCTTCAAAAGACCCTATTAAAAGGTTAAAAAAATAAGCTATGCTTCAGGAAAAAATATTTACAACCACATAGCAAAGGACCAGTATCATCTAGGATATAGAAAGTACTCTTTCAAAACCCAACAATAAAAAATAAAACAATTCAAAAATGAGTAAAAGACACAGGCATTTCACCAAAATGGACATAAAGATGACAAGCACAGGAAAAGGTATTCAACATCATTAGTCATTAGGGGAATGCAAATTAAGATCATGAAGAGACATCACTACACACCTATCACAATGGCTAAAACAAAAAGTGATGACAACACCAAATACTGAGAAAGTCACTCACAACACTCCTGGTGTGAATGTAAAATGGTAAAGCCATTTTGAAAAATAATCTGTCCATTTCTTATAAAAGAAAACATGAATTTACTCTAAGACCCAGAAATTGCACTCTTAGGCATTTATATCAGGGAAATGGAAATTATATTCACACAAAAACCTATATATAAATATTCATATGTAGCTTTATTTGTAACAGCCATTTTCCTTAGGGTTTCCTTCTAATAAGAATTTTAATGTTCAGAACAAGGTAACCTCACATTAATTGTATTAGGATGTTCTGTTCCAAAATCATTTATCTGATGATTAGTAACTGATAAAAGTGTTACCTTGTGTACTGTATTTGTAAAGTCTTCCTCTCATTTGAATTCTATAATATTATACAATTAAAATACTGAAAAAAGGAAACCTCCACGCACTGTTGGTGGGAATGTAAACTGATGCAACCCCTGTGGAAAACAGTATGAAGATTCCTTGAAAAAAAAAAAATAGAAATACCATACTATCCAGTAATTTCACTACTGGGCATTTACCCAAAGAAAATGAAAATACAAATTTGAAAAGATATATGCACCCCAATGTTTATTGCAGCATTATTTACAATAGCTAAGACATGGAAGCAACCTGTGTCCATCAATAGACGAATAAATAAAAAAGATGTAGTATGTACATACAGTGGAATATTAGCCATAAAAAATAATGAGGTCTTGCCATTTGCAACAACATGGATGGACTTAGAGGACATCAGGCTAAGTGGAATAAGTCAAACAGAGAAAGACAAATACCATCTGATTTCACTTATATCTGGAATCTAAAACACAAAACAGAAACAGAATCATAAATACATAGAACTGGTGGTTGCCAGAGGGGCGGGGGTTTGGGGGTGGGTAAAATAGGTGAAGAGGATTAAGAGGTACAAACTTGCAGTTATAAAATAAGTAAATCAGACGCCTGGGTGGCTGTCGGTTAAGCGACTGACTTCTGCTCAGGTCATGATCCCTGGGTCCTGGGATCGAGCCCCGCATCAGGCTCCCTGCTCAGCGGAGAGCCTGCTTCTCCCTCTCCCTCTGCGTGCCACTCTGCCTACTTGTGCTCTCTATCTCTGTTAAATGAATAAATAAAAAATCTTTAAAAAAAATAAAACAGAATAAGTAAATCACAGGGATGAAAAGTACAGCACAGTTAATAGATCATAGTCAATAATAATATTGTAACAATGTTGTATAAAGACAGATGATAACCACACATATTGTGGTCAGTACTAAGGTACAGAATTGTCAAATCACTATGGTGTACACCTGAAACTAATATAACATTGTATGTCAACTACACTGCAATTGAGAAAAAAGATGACTCTTGAGCCCAGAAGGAAAACAAAATTTTTTAAAATACTGAATAATAAAATTTCAATAACTAATGTTTATTAAGTATAATTTATTTATTAGACACTGCTTCAAGGCTCTATATGTATTTATGTCTTTAAATCATTATAATGAGAATATTTAATGTTTTATAAATGAAAAAACTGAAGCAACAGGGGTTAACTAACTTTCCCAAAGGAACACACATGTAGTAAATGGTGGGACTCAGATCATGCTAAATAAGAGAACGATGCCAAACAAGAAAACCCATTTTATGGTTGTACTCTCATATGAATTCACTAACAAAGATTGAAATATGATGGAAACTGATTCTCCCTTATATTAATCTAGCCTTTCCTTGTTTGAATTTTCTGAGTCATTACCTATGAGTGAAAGTAAAGGATTCCCACTCTCATAATTTGAATTACCTGACATTCCAAAATGGAGTGCCAATGGGCAGATAAAAGATTTAATAAATTTGTATTTTCATAAAGTTTTTCTCAATTATGAAGTTTATGATGTTGAGTAAGGTGTGAGTGACGTCTAAAGTCCTTACCACATTCATTACATTTATAAGGCTTTTCACCAGAATGAATTCTCCGATGTTGAGTAAGTTGTGAGCCACGATTAAAGGCCTTCCCACATTCATGACATTTGTATGGTTTCTCACCAGTATGAATTCTCTGGTGCTGAGTAAGATGTGAACCACGAATAAAGGCTTTCCCACATTCATTACACGCATAGGGCTTCTCACCAGTATGAACTCTCTGATGGTAAGTTAGCTGTGAGCCACGAATAAAAGCCTTACCACATTCCTTACATTCATATGGTTTCCTACCAGAATGAGAAATCTGATGTAGAGTAAGTTGTGAGGCACAAATAAAGATCTTCCCACACTGCTTACATTCACAGGGATTCTCACCTGTATGAATTCTCTGATGTTGAGTCAGCTGTGAGCTATAAATAAAGGCCTTCCCACACTCTTTACATTCATAGGGTTTTTCACCAGTATGAATCCTCTGATGCTGAGTAAGATGTGAGCCACGAATAAAGGCTTTCCCACATTCCTTACATTCAAAAGGTTTTTCACCAGTGTGAATTTTTTGATGTTCAGTAAGTTGTGAGCCACGAAAAAATGATTTCCCACATTCTTGGCATTCATAGGGTTTCTCACCAGTATGAATCCTCTGATGTCGAATAAGCTGTGAGCCATAGTTAAAGGCCTTTCCACACTGCTTACATTCATGTGGTTTCCTACCTGTATGAATCCTCTGATGTTCAGTAAGTTGTGAGCCACGAATAAAGGACATCTCACAATCTTTACATTTATAGGGTTTTTCGCCAGTATGAAGTCTGTGATGTAGAGTAAGCTGTGAGCCGTAACTAAAGGCTTTCCCACATTTCTTACATTCATAAGGTTTCTCACCTGTATGAATTCTCTGATGTTCAGTAAGTTGGGAGCCACGAATAAAGGCCTTTCCACATTCTTTACATTGATAGGGTTTCTCTGCAGTATGAACTCTCTGATGGTAAGTAAGTTGAGAGCCACGAAAAAAGGCCTTACCACATTCATTACATTCATAGGGTCTTTCACCAGTATGAATTCTTTGATGTTGGGTAAGATGAGAGCCACGAATAAAGGCCTTCCCACACTCTTTACATTTATAAGGTTTCTCCCCAGTATGAATTCTTTGATGATAAGTAAGCTGTGAGGCACAAATAAAGGCTTTTCCACATTCCTTACATTCATAGGGTTTCTTAACATGAACTCTCTGATGGTAAGTAAGTTCTGAGCCCCGAATAAAGGCCTTTCCACATTCTTTACATTCATAGAATTTTTCATTGGAATGAACTTTCTGATGTTCTGTAAGTTGAAAGCCACGGATAAAGTATTTTCTGCATGCTTTACATTCATAGGATTTCTCCAGAAAATGAATTCTTCGTTTTAATGTGAGGGATGTGGTCTGGCTAAAATTGGGAATTTCTTTACAAGTGATTAATAGTTGCCTGAAAAGTCCCTCTTTATTTCCTAATTGGCTTTCAATCTGGTCTTTGCATTCCCTATCATCTTGAAAACTTTTACACTCACACTTATGTCTTGTGAGCTGTTCTATTATCTCCCATTGAGATGATTCTATTTCATATATTCCTCTCTTTGAGGACAGCTTTTTGGTCTCACACCTGGATTCCCAGTCTGTAAGGTAACAAGAAAGTAAATGTTATTTTCATATTCCTTGAAAAATAAAACCTCTAAGGTAGTAAGAGTAGACTCAAACTGAACATCATACTCATGTCAATGGAACCAGTGGAGCAGAAAAGAAAAATCCAGAAACAGTGCAAATTTAGTATACAATAAAGCTGGCAGCTCAAATCAGTAGGAAAAACATGAACTCTTTTTAATAAATGAAATTATAAACATATGGGTAGACATATAGAAAAAAGATAAAATTTTATTAATTCCTCATATTGTACAGTTGGACAAATTCCAAGTGGATCAGATGTCCATACTTACAGGAATGAAAACATATAAATAATTAGAATAAAACTTGAGTGAGACTTCTTCCATAAACTAGGAATGGGGAAAAATTTCCTAATCATAATTTGATAAAAATGACAATACAGTTAAAAAAAAAAGTTGGCATGTCAAAAACAGGATAGGGTAAGTAAAATGACAAATACTTGCAAAGTTGCATTATGCCTATTATATACCTAATATATAAACAGTTTCTAAAATTAGACTAAAAAGAAAAAGACTACTATATAAAACTGGATACCAGCACTATATAAAAATGGATTAGGAAAATGGACAGTTGATAGAAAAGTAATGTAAATAGCTTTTAACCATATGAAAATATACTCAAATTTGCTATAAGATAAATGCAAATTAAAGCTACACAGAAGTGAGGATATGGAGAAATTGGAACTCTCATAGCTTGCCCATGGGAATGCAAAATGGTACAGCTGCTTTGTAAAACAGTTTTGCACTTCCTCGGAAAGTTAACATAGAGTTGCCATATTACCCTGCAATTTCACTCCAAGTTATATGCCCAACAGAAGTGTCCAACATAGAGTTACCACATAACCCAGAAATCCCACTCATAGGTACAGAGCCAAGGGAACCGAAAACACATGTCTATATAAAAACTTGAATACAATGTTCATAACATTATTCCTCATAAGCATAAGGTGTAAATAACTCAAACATCCACTGATGAATGGATAAATAAAATATGGTATATCCTTACAATAGAATATTTGGCAATAAAAATACTGACACATTACAACATGAATGAACTTTGAAAATATTATGCTTAGTGAAGTAAGCCAGTCACAAAAGACCACATATTGTATGATTCCTTTTATAGGAATTGTCCAGAATAGGCAAATCCATACAGACAGAGCAATAGCTGCACAGGGCTGAGGGGTAGACAGAGAAACATGGAGAATGGCTACTACTGGATACTGGTTTCTTTTCAGGGTGATAAAAATATTCCAAAATTGTGGTGATGGCTGTATGAGACTGTGAATACAGTAAAAATCATCACTGTTTGCTATAAATGGGTAAACTGTATGTTATGTGAAATATATCACAGTAGTTCTAAAAAACTACACTGACATGCTATTTGTCACCTTTTAGAATAGGGAATTTCCAAATATGACATCAAATACTGTTAGCAAGGCTATAAGGAAATTGTTACTTATATACATTGCTAGGATGAATGATAGAAACCTTATGAAAGGAAATATGGCAGTATTTAGCACAATTACATGTATGATTTGATCTAACAACTCCACTTCTATGAAATCAATCCCAAAATTGCATCAGCGAAATGTCAAAAGTCTGCTGCAGAAGGGTTTCACTGAAGCATAATGCGTTACAGCAAAAGATTAAAAATTACCCAATTGTCCATTGGTAAGTGGCTGATGGAAGTAATTCATGGTTTAGCCACATTACAGAGTACCATGCAGCAGTTAAAAAAGGGAACATAGGGGCACCTGGTGGCTCAGTCAGTTAGGCCTCTGCCTTGGCTCAGGTCATGATCTAGGGTAATGGGATCAAGCCCCGCATCAGGCTCCCGGCTCAGCGGGGAGGCTGCTTCTTCCTCTCCCTCTGCTTCTCCCCTCTGCTGTTCTCTCTCCCAAATAAATAAATAAAATCTTAAAAAAATACATTATTAATTGTGAGGAAATGTGGACAAAAGTATGTATAGTTATGCCTTTTATCTTAGGAAGGAGAGGTGGAAGAGGAAGTATGCATGTATAACATACATTTGTTTTTATTTATTTAAAAGGGGGGATGGATTGTAGGGTGGAAGGAACAGGTAGAGGGACAGGGATAGAAGTCAGACTTCTTTCAATACAACTTGTTTTGTAAATTTGACTTTGGAGGTATATAAATATTTTCTGTAATTATAAAACAAATTATAACAAGCACAGCTTAAAAGTGGAAAATACTGAATTAAAAAAAAACCAGTATTTACAATTATTGGAATAACCACACAAGGAAACGATTTCAAATAACTTTCAAACATAGTAATTTGACTGTGAAATACATCCTACAAGGGAGGAAAAAAAGAATTGCCAAAACAATTGTCTCAAACTGTTTTGAGTAATCATACTGTTGGTAGTAATGTTGATCTTATTTTAGAGATTTGTTTGTATAATGTAGAATAAAATAAGTAAATATGATAGGGCGCCTGGGTGGCTCAGTTGGTTGAGTGACTGCCTTCGGCTCAGGTCATGACCCTGGAGTCCCGGGATCGAGTCCCGCATCGGGCTCCCTGCTCAGCAGGGAGTCTGCTTCTCCCTCTGACCCTCTTCTCTCTTGTGCTATCTCTCATTCTCTCTCTCTCAAATAAATAAAATCTTTAAAAAAAAATAAGTAAATATGATATTCCAATCCTATCATTTTTAGTGTTCATGATAACCAGGACTCTTGGCATGGGAGAAAATGGACAGGGAGATAAGATCTTTAAAAGGGTTAAATAAAAAGCTTACAATTAGCTGACCATATAGTTGTGGGCCCATTTCTGGGTTCTCTATTCTGTTCCACTGATCTATGTGTCTGTTTTTGTGTCAGTACCATATGTCTAGATGACTAAAGCTTTGTAATATAGCTTGAAATCTAGAATTGTGATGCCTCCAGTTTTTTCTTTTTCAGAATTGCTTTGGCACAGCGAAGGAAACAATCAACAAAACTATAAGGCAGCCTATGGAATGGGAGAAGATATTTGCAAATGACATATCTGATAAAGGGTTAGTATCTAAAATCTATAAAGCACTTATCAAACTCAACCAAAAAACAAATAATCCAGTTAAGAAATGGGCAGAAGATATGAATGGACACTTTTCCAAAGAAGACATCCAGATGGCTAACAGAAACATGAAAAGATGCTTAACATCATTCATCATCAGGGAAACACAAATCAAAACACAATGAAATACCACCTCACACCTTTCAGAATGGCTAAAATTAAGAACACAAGAAGCAATAGGTATTGGTGAGTATGCGGAGAAAGGGGAATCCTTTTGCACTGTTGTGGGAATGCAAACTGGTGCAACCACTCTGGAGAACAGTTTGGAGGTTCTTCAAAAAGTTAAAAATAGAACTACCCTATGATTCAGCAATTGCATTCATTACTAGGTATTTACCCAAAGAATACAAAAATACAGATTTGAAGGGGTACATGCTCTCCAACACCTGGGTGGCTCAGTTGGTTGGGCGACTGCCTTCGGCTCGGGTCATGGTCCTGGAGTCCCGGGATCAAGTCCCGCATCGGGCGCCCTGCTCAGCGGGGAGTCTGCTTCTCCCTCTGACCCTCTTCCCTCTCGTGCTCTCATTCTCTCAAATAAATAAATAAAATCTTTTTAAAAAATTATCAATAGTAACCAAACTATGGAGAGAACCCAAACGTCCATCAACTGCTGAATGGATAAAGATGTGTACAATTATATATATATGTAATTATATATATAAAAATCCCCTGTACTCTACCTAGCCCTTCCTCCTCCCTCCCCAAATCCAGGCAACTACTGATTGTTACTAACTCCACTATTTGCCTTTTCCAGAATGTGATATAGTTGGAATCATAAAGTGTGTAAATTCTTCAAACTGGCTCCTTTCACTTAACAAGATGCTAAGCATTTAAGGTTCCTTCATGTCTTTTCATGACTCAATAGCTAATTTATTTTTCACTGCTGAATAATAGTCCTTTGTATGGATGAACCACATTATGTTTATCCATTCACCTACTGAAGGACATCTTGGTTGCTTTCAAGTTTTGGAAAACTTTTATAAACACTTATGTGCAGGTTTTTGTAAAACAAAAGTTTTCAATTTATTTGGGTAAATATCTAGGAGCACAATTACCGGATCATACAGTAGGACTATGTTTAGTTTTAAGAAAGTGCCAACTGTCTTCCAAAGTGGCTGTACATGGGGCGCCTGGGTGGTTCTGTCAGTTAAGTGTCTGACTCTTGATTACAGCTCAGGTCATGATCTCAGGGTCATGATATCAAGCACCACATTGGGCTTGACACTCATCGTGGAGTCTGCTTCAGATTGTCTTCCTCTGCCCCTCTCCCCCCTCCCCTGCTCATACTCTCTCTAAAACAAAACAAAACATACAAACACACAAAACAAAGTGGCTGTACCATTTTGCATTCCTGCCAACAGTGAAAGTGAGTTCCTGTTACCCCACATTATAGACAACATTTGGAGCTGTCAGTGTTTTGGATTTTAGTCATTCTAAGAAATGTATAGTTATGTCTCATGGTTGTTTAAATTTTTAATACCCTAATGACATATGACACTGAGCAACTTTTCATATACTTATTTACCATGAGTTTATCTTCTCTAGTGAGGCATCTGTTCAGATCTCTTGGCCACATTTAAATTGGGTTGTTTTGTTATTGTTGAGTTTTAAGAATTCTTTGTATTTTATATATAAGTTCTTTACCAGATATTTGTTTTACAAAGATTTTTCTCCCAGTTCATGGCTTGTCTTTTCATTCTCATAACTGTCTTTTGCACAGCAGCAGTTTTTAATTTTAATGAAAAACAATTTTTAACTTTTTTTGTTCATGATTATATTTTTGGTGTTTATATAAAAACTCATTCTGAGCCCAAAATCACCTAAATTTTTCCCTCCGTTATCTTCTAGAAGTTTGTATGTTTATATTTATGTCTTTCAT